TGTTGAACATCAGTCCATAGTGGGAGTGGAATCTTTTATGCAGCTTTAACATGCACTTGTTGAACACGGTTCATTGTATGTGTTATTGAGGCTGGCTTTGTTTTTTGTCGTATTTTTTATTTCTTCTGGTGTTATTTGTGAGAAGTCTATTTCATCTTCATTTTCTTGGCAGTTTGGTGTTTGGCTATTGGGTGTGTGCTATAAGCTACTTGAGTGTTTTCTTTGTTGTGTGTTTTTTTTGAAGTGTTCTTCCCGTGCGTTCATGGGAATTTCTATGGGTTTGATTTTGTATCTTCTACCTGTTAGTGCAATGAAGGGTTCTGCTCTTGCTTCTTCACCTTTTCTTCTAGTTCCCTCCTCTTCTGTTCTTACTTTTATAAGTAGTTTGTCAGCTTTCCTTTCCTCTGCAGTTATTCATACTTTCTTTGCTTCTGTCCCTGTGTTCAGCTTTGCTTTGTCTCTGTGTTGAGCTTGATGTCTCCTTCAGTTTGACGCTTTATTAAACCACACTTTAGATTTACTCGATCAGTTCAGTAAGGTGGATTTTTGTATAATGTTGTTAGCTATTGTCTTTATTTTGTTTATGTGTCCATTAGCTATTAGTATTTTTGCCATGGGTATTTTGTCCTACCATGTTTTGTTTGTCTGGGTTCAGCTTTCTGGATGGGTTTTCCACTGGTCGTTTTCTTGTTTTTGGTGGTGGTTTGTTTACACTGATGGTCTCTATAGGTATGTGTGTTCTTATTGGAGCAGCCGATGTTCACGTTCCGTTTTGCTCTAATACCCTTATCTCTTCTCCTCTATATACAATTAGATTTGTAGTGCTGGATCCATTGTATCCAGTAAACATTTCTGCTAAAGCCAATCTAATATCATGAGTATCATAGTGTCTTATTGTCTCAAATGGTGCATGTGCAAAGTTTTTGCTCTGCCCATATGCTATAGAATTGTCCTTCTTTCAGTACCTGTTTTAGTTTTATGCTCCCTGTTCTGGTTACTGTTCTTGACGTTATCTTATACTTTTCCTGTTGCCCCCCTTTTGCAATCGAAAGGGCCTTCCTCGGGGTCAAAACTACTGATTTTATTCCTGTCAGGTTTTTTCCATTTGCAAATAGATTTTACCTCAAGGGAAGTAATATTTTTCATAAACGTTTGCCAAAAACTCTCATTTCCACTGTTTTTATGAATTAACTTGTATGTGGGTTAGAGTAGAGATCCCAGAATTGAAGATATAGTGCACTGTATACACTTCTCTCCATAGCCTGTCACACACAGCTTTTAATGGTTTTTTGATGTTAAATGAATAATTAAATGAAATAAATAGTAAAGGTGATACACATAAGCACAGTGTGTTTCCTTGTAGATATCCGTAAATCCCAGAAGTACAGTATTGAAGATGTTGGTCAAAACTCTAGTGTTATTGATAGTTTTGGATCAGTTAATTGAGGCTCCTGAAAAGTAGTGATTTTAACATTCAGTATTTTACAGTAGAAAAACCAACAAATGTATACCCTCTTAAAGTACACCTTTCAGAGCTAAATCATAATCTTATTTTCTGTTTTAAAATGGAGATAATTGGCAATGTGATCAATAAAATGACAAGCATCTGCAGTTCTGTTGAATAAAATAATTTTGTAATAAAAAGTAAGAATACACCAAATATAAAGATTGAGGAAGCAATAAGGTAAATAACTCTCCTAAACCTTTCTAATCTAACAGGGGAGTGAATAAAGATTTTAATTCATTTTTTTAGTTATTTATAGGTCAGTATATATTTAAAAAATGTGACTTGTATTGAGTCAAGCTTCAATTAATGCATAGAAGCAAAGCAAGGAATAGGCACAGCATTAACACAATGCATCAAGGACTGGGTACAAAATTTAAAACCGGGAGGTCATTGATCCAAAGCTAATGATGACAATGGTTGTTACTGGAATATAATTTTTATGAATTACAATACTTTAAATAATATGAATTTTTAAATTGTTAAAAAATTATTTTATTAATGCATTAAATGATGATTACAACACCTACTTGTAAAATTAAACTTATTGCTTTGATGATAATGATGATGATCGTGAAGTTATATATATAGTGTAATATCTACGTTATGCCTGGTAGCGAGTGTGTTTGACAAAATTTTCAAAACAGATGAATGGACCTATACCAGATATGTATATGCAAGATCTTGGCACCAACAATATTGTACTAAGAGTTGAAGTTTCAACTATGCTGCCTGTATTTTGCTGCTGACTTGTTAATTACAGAATACAAGCTATGTAACAGTGGATAGAAGCTTGTCATTATAATGATTACGGATGATGTGTGGATGTGTTTCTGTCCCCCATTTTTTAAATTTATTTTTGTTGAAAATAAAGCTTTGTAATAAAGATTTTGAAGAAGTTGATAACCTTAATATAACCCATAATGAGAGAGCCTGTAACATTATGTAGCACCAGTAGTTGTTTTGTTTTTCGTAAGTACTTAAAGTTCAGAATTAATCAAAATATCTAAACAACACTAATCTGTTATTCATCGTAACTTGAATGATCGAATTGCATATATATTGTTCAAATGTAATTGCAGCTTATTTTGGCCTTGCTCAATAAAACTAATTCAATTTTTTACAGGGAACCTATTAATGGAAGAAGTTGCTTTCCCAAGATTGACCGGTCTTTTGTATTTTTTGGGTTTATTCAGGATTGTTTATCAAGTTGACATCAGTGTTGGAGGTTTGTATCCTTTTAAATATTAAAGCTCTGAAATGCTATGGATCTTTTGTTTGCTTGTTCTATATTCAGGAATTAAATTCTTTGTTTTGAGTATATTTTTAATCATTTATATTATTCAAAATCATTATAATTTTTGAAATTGAGTGCCTGTTTATGATTGTTAATAAAGTAAATCAGAATCTTACAGAAAACAACCTTTAAATACATTAAAACTTTTAAATAAAAAAAAAAAAATATTTTTATTGCAGCTGTCCACTCTCTATAATCAACAGCTACAGCCAGGCAGCCAGTTATAACTTCACTTCAATTTTTCATCGTGGTGTTACTCTACATTCAGTATAGGTAAGAGTTGATATTTCTCGTGTATGAAGGCTTATTATGTACTGAATTTGAAAATGATTCAGTCTTTGTGGGGGGGAAATGGCAATACATACATGACATTGCTGCCCACAGCATAACCAAAGAGATGTGTCTCGTCTCTGACCTCGAGTTTGTTTATTATTCAATAAGTGGTGCAGACTCGTTGGATGAGAGTGATGTCTTGTACCTAAGATTTTCAACTCTAAAACTTTTCAGTAAACTATCTCCTTTTCTCATCGTTCCTTGTGCTTCTTGTTATTACTTCCTGTGTACTTCCCAAGAGGCTTTTGTCACTTCACTTAAATCTTACGGTGTAAGAAACTTCCATTTGGTCATTTGGGGTCACTGACTGTCATGACCAATAATGTGTGTAAACATGTAGACAATGTACACTGCATAGACAAAGATAATCTATGTAGATAATGGTTATGGGAGTGGGTGAGAATCATGCCTGGATTTGCCTTCTTGCCTGTGAAGTACTTATCATCTGCCTCTTGTGAGCGATGAAAAGGTTGACGACATGAGGGATCTGCACAATATTTCTGTGCACCGGGTTGGTGTCACTGCACTTCGAGAGAACGAGTCTGATCTGCAAGTTGAAACAAGTTTCTACTGTGATTGTGGCCATTGTGATTTGTGAGTACAATGCTTTGATTCAATACAGAACGTATATTACATGCACTGAATAGAGTCCATGAACTTGTTTTCCTTCTGTTTCCAGAAAAAGTAAAGTGTAAAATGTCAAGACCTGCTAATATTAATTTCGACAGTTTCAATTTACCCTGTTGAAGGAATATGGAAAATATTACGCTCAATGCAAAGTATGCGAGAAGAAACTTAAAAATACTTCAGCTTCTAGATTAAAAGCACAAGGGTAAAGTGCAGGTAAAAATGAAATGAATACACATTATTACTTTTACTATTTACATTGCATTTATACAAGTAGACATGAAAGTAAATGTTGGTTCTTTAAATCTGATAATGTATGTTACAAGTATATTGTTTGTGTGTGAGGGGGTTGTGTGTGTGTGTGTGAGGGGGTTGTGTGTGTGTGTGTGTGAGGGGGTTGTGTGTGT